CCATCTCCACCCCCAAACCCCCATCGCTCCCTGAGCCCCCCATCCATCTCCTGCCTGCCCTCCAGCCCCCCCAATCGCTCCCTGAGCCCCCCCCTCCATCTCCAGCCCCCATTCGCTCCCTGACTCATACGAGGGCAGTCCTGGGCTGGCTGACCCAGGATCGCCCTCTGTTTGGACGTCCAGCTAACCCGTTAGTCAGCTCTGCTTGCCGCTGGTCCCCATAGAGCTGGGGCAGCCCAGCGGTGAGCAGCACTCAGCCCAGGAGCAGGACTGTTTATCTTCCCTCTGCTCAGGCCTTTCCTGGAGACAGACGCGGGGCCAGATCCTTAGGGCTGGGCCCTGCCATTGCGGTGAGACCCCCTGGCCGGGGGGGCCTGCAGCAGCAGCCCTGTGGGCTGAAGGGCGAGGCTGTGGCCAGCTGGAGAGCAGAGCAGGTGCCTCCAGAGTCCTTGGCAGGGGCTGGCATTCGGCTTGGGGCACAAAGTGTCACTCCAGTAAAGCGCCCGTGCCCGTCCCTGTGGGCCTGTGCCTGCCAGTCTGCTGCCCTTCCTCCTCCCAGAGCCCCTGAACTGAATGGGGCTACGCCTGGAGCACAGTGCTGCCTGCCTGGCCCTTCGCTCTCCCCACCACCCCTCTGGCAGCACCTCAGACACGGCCCCCAGTGGGCCATGGTGCCATAAAGTGACTCATCCTCAGGCCCTTACCCAGCCAGCCGCTGGTCTAGGCACCCTGTGCTCAGGCAAGCGCCAGCCAAGGGGCAAGGCCCTGTGTGTGTCTCTGCGGCCCTGCCCCTCGGGTTGTTGTTCAGCCCAGTGCCCAGCGTGTAACTCACCCATGGGATTGTTCATATGCCCTGTGCACTCGGGTCAGTGAACCGTGAGCCATGGGGCACTGGGTCAGTCACACGGCATCTGTGGGCCAACAGCCAGTGACACACAGGGTCTGGGGCGCAGAGGGGGTTAGTGACACATGGGGTATGTGTGTGGGGGTCAGATACAGATGGGGCACTGGGGGTCAGTGACACACTGGGCACTGGGGGGGTCAGTGACACAGGGGCACAGGGGGGTCAGTGACACACAGGGGCACAGGGCATTGGGGGGACAGTGACACACAGGGGCACAGGGCATTGGGGGGTCAGTGACAAGGGCACAGGGCACTGGGGGGGTCAGTGACACACAGGGGGTGCAGGGCACTGGGGGGGTCAGTGACAAGGGGCACAGGGCATTGGGGGGGTCAGTGACACACAGGGTGTAGGGCACTGGGGGGGGTCAGTGACAAGGGGCACAGGACACTGGGAGGGGTCAGTGACACATGGGGGCACAGGGCACTGGGGGGGTCAGTGACACAGGGGGCAGGGGGCGTGGGGGGGTCAGTGACACATTGGGCACAGGAGATTCAAGCTTTGAGGGTTTACCCGACAATCTCTGGAGTGCAGGAACTCCCCAACCCAGGCAGTGTCAGCCCAAGAAGCAGACAGACGTTCGGCCCCTCCATAGCCCACCCCCCGCGGGACTCTCTCCCCACAGGAGCTACTGCCCAAAGTCCCCAGCTCGGTGCTTGTTTGATACGGCTTTAATAGAAAGCTCTGCAAAACCCCAGCGTGTGCGGCCAGCCAGGCCCCCGCATACAAAAGCTCAGTAGAAGACTTTATTATTGCATAGACCTTGGTGCGTAAATGATCCCCCCGCTTCTCCCCCCTCCCCGCCCCATCCCCATCCCGTCCTTGGTACGAAAAATAGTTGCCTTTTACAAAACAAAAAGCGTCGTTGACGCTGCGTGAATAAAACTCTCTCTGCGTATAGAATAAATACTCTTCCTCTGCTCTCCCCGCCGCTCATTCCCCGCCCCCGATCTCAGCAGCCCTGTGCTGGGTGCCGTCCTATTAAGGCATGGGTTGTGCAGGGAGCCCCGTCCCCTACACACTCGAGAGAGACCAGGCATCAGGGGCGCGGCAGGAGATGGCTCCCTTAGCAATCCTAGGGAAGGAGAACTGGACCCAGCCCCAGCAGGACCTGGGAACCCAGATATCAGACCAACCGGGCCTCAATGGACATCACAGCCCCTTGCAGCCTCCCGCTGGGTTTGTCCGTTTCCTCTCTCCGACCCTGGTTGCCCTGGCTTATAGCAGTAGCCGCGCTCGTCCTCCAGCCCCCAGCAGCTCCGCGTCAGAAGCTGGATTCAGGCACTGGTTTCTTCCTGCCCAGGGAGGCCGTGTGGTACTTGACCCTCTGCAAGGTGCCACAGGCCACCTTCTCCAGTGGCACGCTGCGGCTGTGCTGGTGGCCGCTGCTGCCGTTCTTGTAGAGGGAGGCCGACCTGCGCAGCGCCCAGTCGGCCTTGCTGTGGATGCTGGCGGAGCTCTGCGAGCGCTTGATGTCCACCTCGGACCGGCTGATCCTGCCGTTGGCCTGGCCCTCCTTGCCCCGCCGGCCCAGTGTGCCGTTGGCCCTGCCCTCACTGATGACGCTCAGGGTGCCGTTGGAGAGCGACGTCCGGGAGGAGCCCATGGCTGGCTCCGAGGCGTGGGGCCGCTCCGACTCGCCAGGCTGCTTGGGCTCCTTCTTCAGGAAGCCAGCCCTGAAGATGGTGAACTTCCCTTCCGGCTGCCTCTCGGCCTCGGGGTCCCTGTCCCTGCCGTGCTCCCCGGCCTTGGCGGGGGTTCTTTGGTCGTGGTCCCCGTCCCTGCCCGGTGCCCCTCTGGCCCTCTGGGAGCGGTGTGGGTGGGGCAGGGTGCCTGCGTGGGCTGCCCCATTGGAGCTCACTTTGCTCCCGTTGGTCTTTGGCTCCTCAGCTTTCCAGGGGGCCCCCGCGTTGACGGGCAGTTCTAGCTTCTTGGATGTCCTCTGCGGCTGGCCCGCCTCCTCCTTTGGTTTGCTGCTCCTCTTCAGGGTCCCGGCCATCTCGGTGGCTGGGGACGCTTTGCCGTGGCTCTCTGCAGCACCCCCCACAGTACCTGGGGAATTCCCACTCGCCTTACCAGCCCTGCCGGCCCCTTGGTCCTTCCCAGCCGCGGCCGGGTTCAGCGGAGGCCTCGCCAGCACCGGGGTGTTCTCGCTGCCCCCTGTCATGAGCGGGACGATGGACTCGTTGGTGTACCGGGGCCTGCGCCCAGATTCCAGGTATTCCACCAGCTCCCCAGACGCAGCCTGTGGCCTGTCTCTGGCTGCAAAGGACCAACGTAGGGGCACTGGCTTGGTGGCCCCCAGCCTGGCCTTGGTGGGGGACACTTTCATGCTGACGCTGCGCCCCTGAATGCTGCGCACCAGGGGCCTCGACTCAAAGCCTCCTGCAAGAGAAACACAGGCAGGTTGGCGGGAGCCCCCGAGAGCAGAGCAGAGCTGCATGCTGCCCCTTGCGGGGCATCCGGGGCCAGCTCGGGCTGGGCGCAGCTCCCACCAACGCCGCTGGAGCTGCCCAGGAGTGGCCAAGGGCAGGATCTGGCCGGCAGTGTGGGCTAGTAGCTAGTGACTTTGGCCAATGAATCAGGTGACCTGGGTTCTAGTTAGGGTTGCCAACTTTCTAATCATACAAAACCAAACACCCCTGCCCTGCCCCTTCCCTGAGCCCCTGCCCCTTCTCCGAGGCCCCGCCTCCACTCGCTTCATCCCCCTCCCTCCGTCGCTCTCCCCCACCCTCACTCACTTTCACCAGGCTGGGGCAGAGGATTGGGGTCTGGGAGGGGGGTGAGGTCTCCGGCTGGGGGTGTGGGCTCTGGGGTGGGGCTGGGGATGAGGGGTTTGGGGTGCAGGAGGGAGTGCAGGGTGCGAGCTTCGGGAGGGAGTTTAGGTGTGGGAGGGGACTCTGGGCTGGGGCAGGGGTTTGGGTGCGGGAGGGGGTGCAGGGTCCCGGCGGCACTTACCACAGCTCCCAGGAAGCAGCCGCCAGGTCCCTCCAGCCCCTAGGTGCATGGGCAGCCAGGAAGGCTCTGTGCGCTCCCCTTGCACCTGCAGGTGCCACCCCTGCAGCTCCCTTTCTGGTAAAAAACCGGACACCTGGCAACCCTAGTTCTAGTCCCAGTGTGACCTTGGGTAAGTCACTTCCTGCCTCTGTTTCTCCCCCACCCTTTGTCCATCTAGTCCCTTCCCTTTGGGCGGGGCCTGTCTCTCACTGAATGTCCAGCACCTAGCGCACTGGGGCCGGGGACACACAGACAATGCTAATGATGAGGGCTGGGTCCCAAAAACCTGAATGTTGCCTCTGGTGGCCCATGCGCCACTGAAATCCACCAGCACATTGGGCAGTGTAGGGGACGCGTGCCAGTGCACCTTTGGCCAGCTGTAACTGGTGCATTCGACCAGCAGGTGGCGGTCTGGAGGGACGTTCAGCTGGATGGACCCGCCCCGCCACGCAGGGGAGCACAGCCCCTGATGGGCGGGGCTAGAGCCCTGGCATCTGCCTGTGGGGCAGGCCACAGGGGGACAGTTTTCAGCTTGCTGTGGAGCTAGTCCCGCAGGGGGCCGGGCAGGGGACAGCGCGGCAGAGGTTAACCCCGCGTGCGCCAGGAGCGTGTTGGCTCCGAGCTTCCTGGCTCAAATCGGTTGCCAAGTGCGGCCAAGCCTCAGGATGAGGGGAGACTCGCAGGTTCTGGCCCTCGGGGGTGGGGGAAGCTAGAAGACAGGGCCCCTCAAGGCTCCTGCCCCCTCGAGGGTGAATCAATGGAGCCCGCCAGCTTGGCCTGGGTCCATCCCCCTGCCTTTTAACCCATACTTGGGGTGTTTTGGGGCCTGATCCGTGATTCCTGGGGGCTGGTGGCACTGAAATGACCAAAGTAGAAAGTTCACCTGGCCCCCACCCAGCTCCCTGCGAACCTGATTGTGACCCCCCCTTGCCACCCGCAGGGTGCTGCCTCTCCCCCATCCCGCCGGCCCATTCCCTTCCCCCGCCCCATGCCGCCAGCCTTGCTGCCCTGCTGGCCCGCTCCTTCCACGACTGCCCCTTCTTCTGTGCCACCCCCAGTGAATGGGCCACTCTTCCCCTGCCGCGGGGCTGGGCTCCCCTCCGGGAGACCCCTCAGACTGTGAGGCCAAGCAGAGACTAGCTGACCCAGCCAGGCCGTGTAGGGGGTTACTGGGGAAAGAGCCCCTGGAGGGAAACTGGCCCCTGGGCTCAAAATGTCCTGTCGTCTCCAGACACGGCCAGACACCCCCCACCTAGCACTGCACGGCGCCCCCTTCCCCAGTGCCAGCGAGTCGATTGCCCTGGCTCCCCCCGGCACAGCCCAGACTCCCGCGCTGCAAAGCTCTTGGGGCCGAATCCTGCTCTGCGACCCGACGGAGCCCTGCAGGGTGGGGTGAGGTGTGGTGCTCGACTGGCAGGGCAGACCACCGGGGTTCACTGCTCCGGGGTCAGGCACAGCAATACCACAGACCTTTCTCCTGGCTGGTTGCGGCGTCGAGGAAGACGGGAGAGTCGGGGACCTTCGGGAGGGAGGGGCAGGCCGTGGAGCTCCGGGACACCAGGCTCTCCCTCTTGCTGCTCCCGCTGAGCCGCGAGAGCCAGTGATCCGACACGGAGGAGCTGGTGGAGCCTGCAGGGGGAACCCAGACAGGCGCGTTACCGGGGCATAGACCCAATGGGGCGCTGGAGGTGCAGCAAGGGGGGTGGCACCAAAATGCACAAAGCAGCCAGCTCCAGCCCCGGCAATGAGCAATCACTGGGATGGAGCTGTCCACAGCTACAGCCTGCAGCTCCCAGGGGCCTCCCTTGCTAGTGAGCCGCTGCCTGAACTTTCCTCCCTGGGCCCTTCTGGGTGCAGAGTGGGGCCCCCATGCACCCCTCATGCTGGGATCTCCAGGGAGCCATCTGGGAGAGGGGGTGCTGATGCTGGGGAAGGAGAGATCTGCATGCAGAGGTGCCACTGGACAGGCCCAGGCCACAGGTTAGGTAGCCAGGTGTCACCGTGGCTTGTTTTGTTGCATTTTGGAGCAAGTGTCAGTAGAGGGCGCCCAATAGCCATTGTATAACTGTGCTGGCCCGGCCAGAGTCAGGGTGGGTTGGTCCCATCCCCGCCCCAGAGGCCAATGGGACCCTGACCAGGGCCTGTTAGGCTCACAGAGCCAGGGCAGCACGGCCCTGACCCATGCTCCAAGCAGTGAGTCCCACCAGGGTCTTGTGGGAAGCCAGCCCACCCGATCCAGCCTTGTTCCTTGGTGCCGGTGGCAGCCCCCGCAGTGCCCGATCCCGGGAGGCAGGCGGCCAGCTAGCGCTCACCCCGGCCGACGTCTCCAAAATGGGCCGGGGCGTTGGGAGCCCAGCCTGAGGCACTGAGGGCTTCATTTCCCCTGCAGCTCCGAATGAGGCCAGTGGAGCTGTGGATGCTCAGGCCCTCGGGGTCTCCTCTCGGGCCCCACAAAACACCTAAGCTCAGTGGCCGCTGGTAATAATACATAAAATGGGTATGTGCCATAAAGTGCAGTTACAAGCAGCAGCCACAGGGTGGCAGCACAAATAGGACAGCGCAATTAACATGCCACAACAGACTAGTAATTTGCAAGGATCTCAGAGCAAATACAGCCTCTGTCAAATCAGAGCGCACGTCTCTCAGGAGGGGTGTGTGTGTGTGTGAGAGAGAGAGAGAGAGAATGTGTATCTGTGTGTGTGCTTTGTGGTTGTGTGAGTATGCATGTGCCTGTGTCAGTGTGTGTACTCTGCGTGCATGGAGGTGGGTGGCTTTGTCACTGTGTGTGTGTAGGTGTGTGTGCATGTGCTGTGATTTTGTGCGTGGGTACATGTGTGTGCATGTGCTTTGTGACTGTGTGTAGATGCATCCACATGCTTTGTGATTGTGCCAATGTGTGTGCCCTTGTGCTTTGTGATTGAGCGTGTGCGTGCGAGACAGCCAAAGCATTCAGCGAACAGCCCGTGTGAATTGTCCTTTCCCTCCCCCCGGCTACTCCACACCGGAGCAGCTCAGCAGGATTCAGCTGCCGGCTGATCGTGTTAAAGCCAGAACGGTGTCACAGTGCTGGCCCCACGGAGCCCAGGGGGGACGGGCCCCAGGGACCCCTCTGACGGGTCAGTCTATGGGGGAGACTCAGCAATGTACTTGTCACAGACAGCCCTAGGCCGAACGCGGGGGGTGGGTTGGCCTGCCAGTGCCAATGGCTGTGATTTCCACCCACCCTCCCGGGGACGTCGACAGGGCACAGGAGGGTTTGATGCAGCCTCTGTAGCCACAGCCACAGCAGCTTTCACCTCGCTGGCACGGGTAACAAGAGCAGTGCAGCCGCGTGGGCATGAGTAGCGGCTAGTGACCAGCGTGCACGGTCCCGTGCTGATGGCCGTGCGGCCGGGTCTCCGCCGCTATTGTTACCCATGCTAGCTAGAGGAAAGCAATCGCAGACGGCTCCCCGTGCAGACACCCTCTCCCAGGGGCGGATGGGCAGCTATGAGCCAGGCTCTGGCCCCCCAGCACTCGCACCGAAGCAGACCCTGGAACAACTCTGCCGAGGGCGTTCCTCCCGGGGAGCCAGGGCGCGGCACCTGCCTTTTGCCTAGAGCCGGCCCTGAGTGGGCCAGGCCTGGGCTCCCCGCAGCAGCACGTCCCCGGGGGCGAGCGCGGACGGCAGGGGCGCAGGCCCACCTTGCACGGAGCTGCTGGCAGACCAGCTGGGGATGACATTCCTTCGCTGGTAGAAGAGGATGTAGGCGCCCCGGGTGCTGACCTCGTCCTCCAGAACCGGCTCCACAGCGCTGTCATCGTAGCTGTACCAGTGGCTGTCCAGGGAGTTCCTGCAGTAGGCTGGGGCAGAGAGCACAGCTGTGCTTAGGAAGGGAGCTCACGAACCGCACGAGGGGCGGAGACGGGGCCCCGGGGCGCCAGGCTTGGGGTTCAGTCCAGCCCCGCCAGGGTGGAATCGCATCAGCCTGCATCGCTGGCGGGGCCCGTCTGGCTGGGATCTGCCCCCGCCCGGCCTGGGACTGAAACCGCAGCGAGAGGTAGGCAGGCAGAAGGCAATTCGCCAGCTAGGGCTGGGCCAGCCCAGCTGCTCCAAGGCCCTCCACAGGTAGCGTCGCCCCAGAGGTTCAATCACCGCAGCCAGTCAGGACTTCCAGTGTCCTTCCCCGGCTCAAAGCCATGCGTCTCCAGCTGCACAGCGCCCCCTAGCATCAGACTGGGGCATTGGTTAGTACCAACTCGGGGTTAGTACCAACTCACCCATGTTGTGTCCAACCCACATGGAGCCCTGGAGCACTCACCCGTGTAGTGTCCATCCCGCACGACGCCCTGGTGCACTCACTCATGTAGTGCCCGCCCCGCATGGTGCCCTGGTGCACTCACTCATGTAGTGCCCGCCCCGCATGGTGCCCTGCTGCAGTCACCGGCATAGTGCCCGCCCTGCATGGCGCCCTGGTTCATTCACCGGTGAAGTGCCCGCCCTGCATGGTGCCCTGGTGCACTCACAAGTGAAGTGCCCGCACCACACGGCGCCCTGGTGCACTCACCCATGTAGTGCCTGCCACACACGGCACCCAGGTGCACTAATTGGCTCAGTGCTCACCCTGCACAGCACCCTAGTGCACTCACCCTGTAGTGTCCGTACAGCGCCCTGGTGCACTCACTCATGTAGTGCCCACTCTGCACGGCACACTGGTGCACTCACCAGCAAAGTGCCCACCCCGGACGGTGCCCTGGTGCACTCACCGGAGTAGTGCCCACCCCGCACGGTGCCCTGGTGCACTCACCAGTGAAGTTCCTGCCTCGTATGGTGCCCTGGTGCACTCACTGGTGTAGTGCCCACCCCGCATTGTGCCCTGGTGCACTCACCGGTGTAGTGCCTGCCCTGTATGGTGCCCTGGTGCACTCACCGGTGTAGTGTCCACCCTGCATGCTGCCATGGTGGTTGCAGACGGCGTACAGGTCGTAGAGCGACTCGAGTTGGGAGCTCTCGTGGAGGTACGGCAGCTGCTTCCATGTCGCCCACGGGCCCAGTGCCTGCGCCCCGGCCTGGCTCCTCTTGGCCACGTGGGGCGCCATGTTGAGGCCGCGGAGGGGAAAGCGGACGAGGGTGGAGAGCTTGGTCCGGCGCTCGCCCACCTGGCGGAACCTCTTCAGGTGGATGATGAGGATGTCGGGCAGCGTCCACAGGCTCAGCTTCACCACGCCCTGCTGCAGCACCTGGCAGTGGGGGCACCTCCAGGCATCGTCGGGGGCCAGCTGGGGACACAAGACACCATGCCCCAGGCAAGGCTAGGGTTAGCGTGGCCCCAGCAACTGGCCTGGCCATTCCCCCCATGCCCATGGGGAAGGCACTGGGCACCTGGTGCTGCTGCGCATCCCTCCAGCAGGATTTGTCCAGCGGGGCCTGCGACCTGGGTCTGGGCGCGGGGGGGGAAAGCACAGTCCCCAGTGCCTACCTGCCCTTGCTCGGGCTCAGAGAGGAAGGCTGGGGTTCCCCTCACAGGGTGCGGTGGGCTCTCCCTTCCCTTTGTTCCTGTTCTCCTGCCAGCCCCAGCTGGGCAGCTGGATCCATGCCCTGGGGTGCTCTGCTATCAGCCCAGCACCCGTCCCTACCCCCCAGCTCCAGCGCCCCAGACGCCCCAGCACAAAGGGCGACAGCAGGCCCAGGGTGCACGACCAGACCCCGCCCTGCATGGCACATACCTGCTCCTCCTTGGTGTAGAGCTGGAAGCACTCATCCAGGGTGCAGCTGTGCTGCTGCTGATGGGCCTGCTGCTGCAGCCGGACGCTCTCGGTGTCCTGCACCACCTCCTCCTGGATGCTGCCAAACAGACTGCAAAGGCGGGAGAGGAGCTTGGAGGGAGGCAGTACCCACGCGATGGCATCTGGGCAGTGCCATCCATGGGCAGCATGACAGGAGACAGCAACTGTCCTGCTCTTTCCCAAGCCAGCCTGTGGTATTTGCCTCCATATCCTGAGGCAGTGAGTTCCACAGGTTGAGTTACAGTAAGACCCGTCCTAATTGACCATTTAAGGGATTGGCATGTTGGTTGCCTGGCAGAGGTGGCCTTCTAGTAAAGGCAGAGCAGTTCTCCCCCTAGTGGACAATACTGTCCAGTACAGGGGCTTGAAGTTAGGCGCCCAGGCTAAGATATTCACAAGTGCCAGTGACTTGGGGCCCCCAACTTGAGATGCCTTAAAGGGTCCTGATTTTCAGACACTCAGGAGCCCCCAGACTCTGAAACTCAGCCCCCTTTGAGGTGTCTCAAGTTGGGCCCCCCCAAAATCACTCCCCATGCTTGAAAACCTTGGCTCAAACTCTGTATTTCGGCACCTAACCAAGTGGCTGGATCTTCACACGTGCTGAGCACCGGCAACCCTATTGGTGTCCCGGGCACTGCTGGGCACTCAGCCGTCTATCAGGATGAAGTGCCAGCCCAGAGCCAGCTATTCCACGCTCTTCGGTGCAAATCCAGCATCGCTACATTGAAGGTGCTCCGCTGCTGTTAAACGCAGAGTGCATGGACCCTCACTGTCCTGCGCAAACTGCTCACCGCTAACCCTGCTGTCCAATGGGGGAGACACGGGCAAGTGATTCTTAGCAGGCCAGATCCTGATGTCCTCACTCAGGCAGAATTCCCAGCGGGACGATGGGGACGGTCCCACTCAGACTTTACTCTGCCCTTCCATGGGGGGGATTCCGAGTGAGGCCGTCAAGGTTGGACCGTTAATAAATAAGACACTTAAGAGCCCAATGAGTTGGTTCTGGTTCTGTTGGGTGAAATACAGAGACCAGGTCCTTGGCCAGGGGGTGGGCACAGGAGTAAGGCCTGAGGCCACCAGGTGGCTACGGGCCAAACACTGATGAGAAACGTAAGGGGAATCGAGATGTTTTCTTCCAGCTGTGTTGACCCTGAGTCTCTGATCCCAGCCCGCGGCACCGAGACAGACCCGCTGCCTCTGTGCCCCTGCCGCTGCTGGGGACAGGCTCCGCGGCGCTGAGGACTCACCGTTCTTTGGTGTTCGGGTCCCATTCCACCACCAGCTTCACGTGGGGGGGGCCACCCAGGCCGCTGAACTGCAGTGCTCTGCTGGGACAAGGCCAGGCATTAGCGGGAGGGGCCTTGCTCCAGGCTGCTCCCCCGGGACACAGTACGGGTTGCAGCTGCCAGCCCAGGCCCAAAGGGAAGCTTGAGCATCGCCGTATTGACCCTGCTAGTAAGGGCTGATCCCCCATGAGAGAGCAGAGACTTCCCAGAGCCCATCGGGTGCTGGAGGGGAAGGCCCAGGGCACCACCCCTGACCCACTGTCTTCCCCGCGCTGGTGGGGCATGAGGCAGCTACAGGTGTTGTCTGGCAGCAGGTTCTCCGTTCCTCCCCCAGGCCCTGCAGCCATCATGTGAGAACCTGCAGGCAGCTCCGTAGGGCACGGAGCATGGCATGGAGCTGCCCTTCCCTTCCCTGTCAGCCCTCTTGCCCTGACCAACGCCCTGGCTTGTTAGCAGCAGCCTGTGGCTTCTGCGAAGTCCCTTCCCCACCTAGGGTTGCCAACTTTCTAGTCACACAAATCGGAACACCCTAGCCCCGCCCCCCACGAGGCCCCGCCCCTTCCACAGGCCCTGCCCCCACTCACTACATTCCCCCTCCCTCAGTGGCTCGCTCTCCCCCACCCTCACTCATTTTCACTGGGCTGGGGCAGGATGTTGGCGTGCGGGAGAGGGTGAGGGCTCTGGGGTGGGGCTGGGATGAGGGGTTCAGCGTGTGGGAGGGGGCCCTGGGCTGGGCCAGGGGGTTGGAGTGCAGGGGGGGTGAGGGCTCTGGGCTGGGGGTGAGGGCTGTGGGTTGGGGCCGGGGATGGGTAGTTTGGGGAGCAGGGGGGCTGAGGGTTGGGGCGTGGGCTGACCTCGAGCAGCTCCTGGTCAGAGGTGCAGCGGGTCTAAGGCAGGCTGCCTCCCTGTCCTGGCACCGCGCCGTGCATGTCCCAGAAGTAGCCACCAGGTCTGGGTCCTAGGCGTGGGGGTGAGGGGGGCAAGAGGCTCCACCCTCCGCTCTCACCCTCAGGCACTGCCCCCCCATCTCCTATTGGCAGGTGGAGCCGGTGCTCAGGGCGGGGGCAGCGCACAGAGCCCTGTGGGCCCCACCCCCGCCTAGGAGCCAGACCTGCTGGCTGCTTCTGGGGCGTGGCGCGGTGCCAGGACAGGTAGGGACTAGCCTGCCTGAGCACTGCCAACCGGACTTTTAATGGCCCAGTCGGCGGTGCTGACCGGAGCCGCCAGAGTCCCTTTTTGACTGGATGTTCCAGTCAAAAACCGGACACCTGGTCACCCTATCCCCACCCCGTGGCAGACTGGAGACTGCTGCAGCAAAGGGGCTCCGTACACCGCCAATCTCCCAGACCTCTGCTCTGTCAGCACCATCTCTGGGAAGCTGAGGAGCAGGTTCCCAGCCACAGACGCCAGGCCCCCAGCCTGCTTAGAGACAGATGATCATCTCTAAGGTGCTGCCTCTTTAAGGAGCCGTCCCAGCAACACCCTGACCTCTGGGGGTCAATACAGACCCCTTGGCACTTTGCACATCACCTGTCAAGGTATACAAAGGGAACTCCTTAGACCAAATACTAATACGTTCTCCAGCAGTGTTTTCTTTCTCTGCCCATCTGCACAAATTAATCTTTTATTTGTCAGTTTGTGTGTGTCCAGCGAACGCAACGGTTACCAACATTTACTGATAACCATCTAATCCTTCCAAGTTTATGGCCAGGGTCACCCAACAGACTGGAGCTGGGACTCGAACCCACGTCTCCTGAGTCCCTCTCTCACTGGCCCCCACCCCACATCACTTCAGAGAGCTCCGTCACACAAGCCAGTGTAGCACTGCAGGACCACTACGGTGCTGCAGGGGAACTGCATGATGGGTATTACATAGCCTGATGTCACCACTTGCATGGCCCCTGGGCTCCTCCCACTCCCTATGCCCTGCCAGTGGTGTCCCAGCATACACACAGAGACGTTAGATAAAAACACCAAATGCCCCTGCTGGAAGGTTGCACTGTAAAGCGACTGTATTTCTTAGAATCCAGACCAATAACACCCAGTGACCAAAACCAGAGAGAGACAAAGCAGGCTGCTCCCGAAGGCAGTGAGGCTCTACTCACCCACCTTGTTCTAGGCTGGCTCTTCCCAGACTGACTTGGATGGCTGACTTCCCTGCAGAGCCCCATAGCCTGCAAGCAGGATATGGAAAGTCCTCTCCACCCAGCTCTTAAAGCGATAGCATGCAATTCCAACAGAGTCCTCAACACACCACGGGGCCCAGTCCTCTCCCCTCACTGTGTGTGTCGGCTTGGCTTTGTGCCTGCTCTCACACTGCTCTCCTCGCCTGCAATGCTGCCCCCAGCTCCTGACTGAATCAACCCTTCCCGCCTTCTGCCCATATCCATCTATCCTTCCCCCCACCCATCCTGCATTCGCCACCAGGGTAGCCGATGCCCAAACCCTCTCTCCCCCGGATTGCTGTCAGACTGCCAGGGCTTGGAGGCAAGGACCGTGTTTGTGAGTTACTGGCACTGCATCAGCGTACATTAACGTGAAGAAGAGTCACGGGAGATGGATGCGTTCAGATGAAGTGCCAGGGAAAGACACATGAAGAGGGAGAAGAAACGGGCTCTTGGGTAGGCAGCGAGAGGCACAGCTTCCTTGCACTGTCACCTCTCTGGGGTGGGGACCGTCTTTTTGTTGTGCCTTTGTGCAGCGCCTGGCACAACGGCATCCTGATCCAGGACGGGGGCCCCTAGGCACACCCATGGTACCAATAATAATGAATAATAATTATTATCCCGCTGGCTCAGATGGGACGAACCAGCAAGGGGGGTGGTTTATAAATATGCAGCCGGATCCCTTCTACTGGGAGAAGGGGGGTCTCCGTGAAGGCCAGGCAGGCAGTGATGTGCTGGGGAGACGACTTCCACGAGGCATGGGAGCCGGGGTCAGCAGGCGGCCATCCTGCCTTCTCCACTGGGCCCCGGTCTGGCACGGCTGTGTGACCGGCTGCTGTCGCCGACCAGACGAGAATGCCCGGAGCAAAGGGGGCGCGGGGGCCTGCGTGGGAGCCCTGGTCCATGCCTATGTTAGTTCTCAGCGAGCTAAAGGACTGTGCCCCGTCCTCAGGACAGCTGGAGGCGCAGGGCAGGCTCCCGCGCTAGCAGCTGCAAGCTGCTGTGATGGGGCAGACAGGAGACGGGGAGCAGAGCTGTGGAGAAACCCCACCTACTACGGCCCCCGAATCACAACGCAGCCCTGGCAGGGAATTAGAGGCTGCAGTGTAATCCCCAGAAGGGCCAGTAGGTGGCAGACTCCTCCCAGACAATCGGCTTGCTCCATCATCCAAGTGGGAGCTGGAGGGGCGAGCGGGTCCTCTGAGGGTGATGGAGGTTTGCTCCCACATCCCGTTGTCAGGAGCAGACCGAGCAGGTGCCCAAGTGCTAGGCCCCATGTGGCCGGGCTGGTCCTGTGTGCCCCGTGGCTGCACCTGGAGGAGACTGATGGAGTTTGCACGTAGGGTGTTTGACACGGAAAAGGGGAGTGGAGCCTCTGAAATCCGCTCCCCTCAGCCACGCCCAGCCCCTGCGAGCGACAGTGACACCCGTCACACCTGCCAGCCTCTCCAGCAGTCCTGAGCCAGCGGCGGGGCCAGGAGAGGGCAGGACCCCCAGTGCTGTTAGTCCGTTCACGGCACCTTACTGAGCATATTACACAGCTGACAACAGGAGGTGCAGGACATGACTGTTCACCCGGGGCCGGAGAGCGAGGCTGCTGGGGTGACTCCTGTCCTGTGGGGCTGGGCCTGGCTCCCTGCTCCGGTGTATGGGGCGCGTGGTGCTGGGACCCTGTGTGCTAGGTCAGAACAGCACTCGCTCAAATTTGCCCCGTCCGCTCTCTGTCATGATGGGGGGAGCCAGGCCAAACCTGAGTGGTATTAACCCCCATACGGAATGGGAAACTGAGGCAGAGAGGTGAAGTGACTTGCTCGCAGTCACACGGAGAGACAGTGGCCGACCCAGGGAAAGGCTCCAACTCTCCTGACCCCTGCTCGGGTGTGTAACTCCTAATGCACGCTGCCACTCCACTACATCAGCCTTTAGACCCCAGTTTGCTACCACAGCGCCCCATGACGCCACTCTCACGTCAGACGGCGACTGCTGACCCCCACACGGAGTCACCACAAACAGGCAGCGGAGACAAAGAGCTCGTGTTCTTTCCATCTCCCAGCAGAGAGCGTCCCACCTGGGAGACTGCAGCCAGCTCTGAGGGACACTCTGCTTGACGGATGCACCAATGAGATGCAGCCAGTGCCAATGGAACAGCCATGGCAACCGCACAACAGCAAAACCATCAGCCCTAGCCACCGGGAGCTGGTGGCAGAGGATCAATATGTACAGCGCCGAGCGCCCGGGGCGGTGAGGAGGTACCCTGTGGAGTCCAGTGCCCGGGCAGCACGGTGATGGGGCCGGCTCTCCCAGGCAGCGAGTGCAGCACAGGCAATGGCCTGATGGGAGCATGCTGGTGCCGCCACAATGAACCTCCTCAGACACATGGGGCAAGTGTCCCCAGCAAAGGCACCCTGTTGCTGGAGGGGCTGATGGTGGGTCTCCCAGGCCTGTTGCTGCTCCCATCACGTGGGGCCAGCAAGGAGCAGAACTGGGATTTCCACTGAGGGAAAGCCCTAGCCATGGTGGGAGACTCAAGTCCTGAGCCCAGGCTCAGAGCGTCAGCGGCCTCCAAGGCATCAGACTGTAAAATACAGCTGGGCACTGACTGCGGAAGGAGCCAAAGGCAGGATTTTCTTTGCCGCAAAACAAAGACAGCGAGAAATGCTTCCAGATGAATACCATAACAAATCCACGCCCAGAGGGGCCTCACCACGCTGCACGCCATGGCCGCTCGCGGCTTGACGGGGCAGCAGGAACAGAAGCTGGATCCTGCTGCTTCCCGCAGCACAGGCCCTGCAGTCCAGCTACAGGAGAATCTTTATGAGCGCCTAGCAGTCCGGGGCCTATGACACACAGCTGAGCAGTTCTGATGGCACCCAGCAGAGGGCAGCGCTCTCACCAACACCCTGGCCAGCTGATGACATTGCACGGTGGGAAATGAACCGTCTGAGGCACTCAGAAAGAAAGAACCGCCCGACAGAGTGCCTGCTAGTGACACTCGCTGAGTGCTCATCGGAGGCCTGGATGCCTGCTAGGAGGTCGGCACAGGGCTTGGGTGAGGAGGCACGTGGCAGCAGGTGCATGCAGGAGGGGAAAGCCCTGCGCTGGTTGGGGAGCAGCAGAGGGTATTCTGCATGTCTCACTTCATATGAAACGTAGGCCTGGCCAAGGCCATGGTCCCTCGGCCCCCTAGGCCTGGCCAAGGCCATTGTCCCTCAGCCCCCCTAGGCCTGGCCCTGGCTATGGTCCCTTGGCCCCCCTAGGCCTGGCCCTGGCTACTGCCTATTTGGCCTCACAGCTCAGGTTCTCGAAATGAAAGCAGGCCCGTGGCTTCCCGCATGGCAGGGGGTAGCTGTGCGCTCCAGCACCCTGCTCCAGGGGACACTGCTGGGGCTGGGAGAGTGTCCAGCTCAGGAATCAGCAGCTGGGCTCATGCAGGGAGGAGACAGTGAGGGCTCCAGACCCGTCCCTGCTCGGTCAGCCGCTCCTATGCCCCGTCCTGGCGGGCGAGGTCTCTTACCTGTCGACTGCGGGGTGGTAGAGCGGCCTGCCGTCCTGAGGGGAGAGGTAGCTGCATGCCACGGAGCCCCCGGCAACCCGCACCCGGAACAGGTCCCCCACGCCCTGCAAAAGAGAAGCCCTGAGGGTGAGAATCCCTGAGCTGGCGAGTGGATCCCTGACCCCAAGGGGCCAGCGCCTGGCACCGGGGCTGACAAAGGGCCACAGGGCTGAGCGGGAACAGGAGGTGCCTGGGGACCGGTCAGGCAGGGCAGTGAGATGTGTGGCACGCAGGCTGTGAGGAGGAGACGCATGGGGTGGCACTAATGAAAGAGCAGCCCCAGCAGAGATGCCCCACGAGGATGCCCTGCCCAGAGAACCAGCTGCGAGACAACCCCGGCTGGTCTCGGGGGCCATGGGGCCCCTCCTGGGCCAGCCTCTCCAACTTACCTTTATTTATACAGCACCTTCCCTCTCAAAGCACTTGCCAGACCACAGGAGAAATGCAGCTGCTGCTGGGGAGGAGAGCAGTCTTTGCCAGCAAACTGCTATGCCATATTTCAGAGGAAGCGTAGCCTGGTGTCTCTGGCTGACACGGCACACTGGGGGAGTCAGGGACTCACCCAGGATAAAACAGGGCCAGGAGGCACCAGGTTAACGGCCTGATTCCTGCAAGCCGCTGCATGGATGGAGAAGGCACATTGCATGCTGGGATTGGCTGTCTCTATTGGAACCCCATGGCCTGCCTTTGACTCAGGCAAACACCCCGTCCCCTCACCCGTCATGGAAAATCAATGTCCAGAAAAAAAATCCCTGGCGTCCCCGGGCGGCTCATCCTCAGCCGCCCCCGGGGCTCACTCGTGCCGCACTTCGGAAGGTCCCGTGCGGCTAGGGGATTGACCTAGGTGACACGCTACCCGGGTCTGGGCTGACGCTGGGTTGAGTGCGTGCATTCACTTCCCAGCTGCATGGGAATTCAGGTGCTTCACCTGCGTTAATCCGGCCAGCTGAAGCAATTGAAGATCGTTGGAGGATTTCAAACACCCACACTCCACCGGCTCTCGTATTGTGGGGAGGGCAGAGGCTGAATGGTACCACGCTGCAAAGGTTGTAAATACGCGCAGCTGCTGTGCAAGCTTCTCACACACCTCTGCTAGCATCCCTCCGGGCTGCCCTGCAGCCCCGCCTGCTAGACCAGCCAAGGGCCCCTCCACACGTGGGCCAGCGCACCTCAACGATTTCACTCCTGGGCCCCCCTGTAAATTCGCCAGTGTGCTGCAGTCCTGAGCTGCAGCACTCCTGCCGACAGAAGCCGTGGGCCCCCACCCACAGTTCTGCCAGTGCCTCTCAGACAACCCCCAGCACTCCCAACTGCTCCCGCCCTAGCACTCTCAGACAGCTCTGCCAATGCTCCTCACTCCCGACCCGCAGCAACCCCTGAGCCTCTGCTGAGCAAAGACGGAACCATCAGCTCTGGCCCTGCAGCCCCAGTCCGGGCTCTGAAATTCCCTTCCCAGGAAAACTTGCCAAGTTAACATGTGACTCGGGCTCAGCTGGAATCTGGGCCCGCTGGAATCAGTGGGAGTCTTGCCGCGGGCAGGGCTGGACTAGGGAAGTGAACTTGAGCTGGTGCGGGGTAAGAAGGTGAAGCAATGGCCGCGCCCAGGTGGCAGTGGATGAAGCTAAGGACTGGACAATGAGACACAGAGTCTCTCCCACCTCGCTCACTGCTTTGGGCCAGCCTGGCACTGCTCATCAGTCCTAAAGTCACTTGGAAAATGGGCCAAACTCAAGGTGGCTCCTCCCAACCCAGTCCACGTATAACCCAGTGGGGACTGGTGGCTAGGCACTAGGACGGGATCTCTGTGTCTCTGTTTCCCCTGCAAGCTCCTCATGGCAGGGACTGTGGCCATGTGTCTGTACAGCCCCTGGCTCGGCTGGGACCTCTGGATGCTACCGGAATACAGCTAGAACAGCCATCACCTGGCAGGGGCCCACATACAGCGAAGCCGAAGTAAGTGCCCGAAGCCATTTGCTCAGCCAGATGGGCCCCCGGATGGATTTTACGGCGCCCTCACTCGTGATGTCTTAGGGCAGGCCTGGTGCAGAGGTGTATTTTGCAGCCCTTCCCCCTGCACCGCTTTTACAGTTTCCCCATTGTCACGCGAGCGGATGCATCTGGGGCCATCTCCCTCCCCCAGTGATGATGTTTTGTCATGTTTTGTCGGCGTTTCATTAGCCAATCCATCCCAGCTTTCATTACCCGCCGCCGGCCGGCCCCGCATCCTTCTGACAGGGACTGTAATGAGAGCCGAAGCGGGGACAAAACGAATCCATTAGGGTGACAATATTCAGCTTGTAATCTCACGTTCCTCTAAACATGCATTAGAGACAGAGCGTGCGCCCCAGCTACACGGCCCAGCTCCCTGCAGCAGCACAGCCGTTCCTGGGTGCGAAAACAGGGAGCAATCAAACCGCACCTTCCTTTCCAGGATCTCAAAGCACTCGCAACCACTCAAGGATTTCCCTCTCACAACCCTCTGGGAGGCAGGGCTCACGCTCCCCACTTTATTGATGAGGAAAATGAGGCACAGTTTGCAGGTTCCTCGGTTTCCCCATCAATGAGACAGGAATGACACTATTTACCCACTTCAGCAGGTAGTTCCGAGGGTTAATTTGCTAATATTTGTACCGGACACTGACACGTACAATATGAACAGTGTGTGCTGTTATCTCATAGCCTCCTGCATTCCCTCTGGGAACAGGTGCTGGAGACCTCCCGTTCCATCCCCCGCGCCCAGATTTGCTGCAGTATAAATAGCGCCTCATAGCACAATCAATGCGCTAGGGTCAAAAGCCATTCTTCAGATGGTATGAGACACAGTCTGCTCTCAGCGACGCCAGTGCAGCCCCACTGGCTTCAAAGGGGAGAAAAGAATCCAATTTTCACCTTTTAATAGCTTTCAAGGTCCTGCACAGCACCCAGCCAGGAGCTTATAGAAAACAGAAAGGCTCCTTTATCACTGAAAGCACCTGGTCGCCCGTATTGTAGGGACGCTGCCTGCTCTATCCCAGCACATATGGGACTGAGCTGACCAAATTCTCCACACGTCATGGGCCAGATCCTCCTTAACCCACTGACTGCAGCGGAGCTGTGCGATTGCAGCGGGTGGAGGATCTGGCTCTCTATCCTTCCAGCACATGCTGCTTAGTTTACCAGACTGGAGAAGGTTCTTTACAACAGACGCGTTCCCCAGAAACCGTAAAGAACCCAAGAGAAGCTCCACGGTTCATTCCAAGCCCCAAAAACCTTCCCTGCAGGAACTGGGGGCACGTCTACACAGCAGCCGGACGATGTCATTCCCAGCTTGGGCAGACAGACACACGCTAGCTCTGCTTGAGCCAGTGCGCTAAAAAGAGCGGTGTGGCTGTGGTGGCCTGGACTACCTACCCAAGGGTGATCCCATCCCAGAGCCTAGGTGTGTACATGGGTGGCTAGCCCGTGCCACCCCCCCCCCATGCTGCTATTTTTCGGCACTAGCTCGATGAAAGCAATCACATCCCCCAGCTGGCAGGTGGGCATATCCCTCAGAAGCCGTACTGGATCGTCTTTGCACCGGGAGGGGCCGTGTGAGTTAGCAGAGCATCCTCCAGGATTCGTGAGGAACCCCATAGACGAACTCCAGAAGGCAAAGTTGCCTACAGCTATTGTGGAAGGTCCTTGCTGGCTGCTCTGAATACCTGACAGGAACAGTCGCACATGGGAGCTAATGACAGCAAAAGAAGAGTCTGGTTAGCGTGCCCAGTCATGCCCAGAGAACTCATCCAGCCCGTGGGCACGTACACCACAGCGCTAGCCCCCATCCACAGCACACGAGGCGTTAGACTCCCACAGCTCACAGAAGCACTGCAGGTTTGCACAAGCTACTTTAGCAAGGTTCGAAAAAACCGAGGGGTGGGTTCCCGCTGCCCAAGCAGGCTGTGAATGGGATGGTCCCGTCTGGACGCAGTGACCGTGTTACACTTTCCCCAGATACTTTCAGTCTGAATATCTGAATAGCTTTTCTATTAGATGAAGGAAACCAACCAGCAGAGAGCGATCGAACAGACCGTCTCCCTGGCAGAACAAGCAGTATGTTACCCAGTCTATATCACTCCGCACCTGCACTAAACAGAGGACAAGTCCCCATGCGAAGGGGGGGTAGACAGCAACAGAACCACATCCTCTTCCAGTTACCGCTACCTAGCCCCCAGGAGAAATGTGCAGAGACAAGGCAGATCTAGAGGGGCAGTGCTAAGGGGATTGCAGAAGAGGCACAGGAAAGCTCTGTCCTTTTCCGGTGTGACCTCAGGCAAGTCACTGAGGCAGGTAACTAAGTCCATAGTTAGGCACCTAACCAAATGGCCTAGTTCCCAGAGGTGCCAATTTCATCTCTGCCTAGGGCACTAAGCTGAAATTCCCCCTTCTGCACAAAGCCCAAGGCACCTCAGCAGTCCCGTGTATGCCCTGGGAAGGCTGGAGTTTCCCTTGGTCTGCCCAGAAGTGGTTCAGGTGTATGCAACAGGGAATCATGGGATGTGGGTGCCAATCTGAGGGAGGCGGGAGAGAGAAACAGCTGCCAAATCTTCACTGTTGCACCAAAGAATGGAACATTTCCCTGATGATAATATTACCCAGGATTTTGCAAGCCCCTTCCATCAAGGATCTCCTGGGGCTTGGTGTCATCCCCATTTTATATACGGAGAAATGGGTGCACAGAGAAATGAAGCTCCCTGCAGGAACCTATGCAGAAAAACCAGCAAAATAAGGTTAATGGGACTTGAGCTGCATTTCCTGGAACGAATCTGTCCCTGGTCTGGGTAAGGAGTGAAAGGCGCCGTTCCCAACTAGACCGAGGAGGATTTGAAGCTGGGCCCTCCAGCAAGGCCATTTGCTATATTTCCCCACAGAGCATCAAAAAGTCCTTGTTTCTGGATCTGTTGGAGAGGGCATCTGCCAACGGTGCAAAGAAAAGGTTCTGTGGAAGAAAGGCTCAGAGACAGAGACAGAGAAAGAAGGTCAGGACTGGGGCAGCAGAAGGCCTGAGGACGTACAGTACAAGCTGTAGAGGGACAGACATACATGG